TTCGTCAGTGAAGTGTTCTCTCTCCTCTGTTTTTGCTGGTATCTGGAGGTTTTGCTTGTCTCGAATTGGGTTGAAAAGTGGTGTGGTTGTTATGGAAAAATTCGGTTGCTGGGTGTTTATGTACGATGATGTACTCGCCTCTTGTCCCCGCTAAGATCCGCTCCGACAGAAGCCTTTCACACCCTAGTATAAGAAGTCCGGCGTGCGCGCGCACTTCCCTGGCCGGCGGGGCTATTAATTTAAGTTATGGCCGGTACGGGGCCATTTGGATGCACGCGACAGATCCTTGAGGAAGCTTCTAATCTCCGATGTGGGGTGGGTCACGAAAATGACCAGTCAACCTTCATCGACGTCTCGTTATCTTGACCCAGTCTGATCAGGTAGGCGGGGGTCATAGTGGAGTCTGTGTAGACCTGCATTCTGTTGACCAGTACTATTCGCACCCTACTTTGCTTGCCGCCCCGATTGGTCATGATCGGAGCTAGAATCGTCTAGGATGCTTGCCGCCCCGGATGGATCATGATCGGCGTCAGACCTCGTCTAGGGCTAGGACTAGGGCATCGATTAGTTGAGTCTGTCGAACCCCTAGCCCTAGCCCTAGACGAGGTCCGGCTCCGATCATGATCCATCCGGGCGACAAGCATCCTAGACGAGGTCCGGCTCCAATCATGATCCATCCGGGCGGCAAGCATCCTAGAGGTCCGGGCTAGGGCCCTAGGTGCTAACCGAAAAAATTCAGGAATGTCACAGGTATATAGTACACAGTAGTAGTCTGCATCTGGCGTAGCCTGACCCCACCCTCAAGGGGTCAGGTGAACCGCGTATCATAGACTTGTCGCTCAGGAATGCAGGCGCGCGATCCACGGCTTGGATGACAATAGCCTTGTATCCCAACTTTTTCACTGCGCCAGTAGCCGCGGCTGTCACGTCTTTCTCTCCGCCGCCTTCATTGCCGCCGCCTTCATCAAGTCTATGATACTTCCCGAGATTTGAGGGTGGGGTCAGGCTATGCCAGACTAGACTCCACTATGACTATGACCGTAGGCGGGTGTAGGTCATCATGGAAACAAGCCTTTTATATATATATGCAAGAGCAACATTTTGAAGGTGGGGCATGTTCCTATACCATCGAATATTCTTCCAGGTGGGGATTGAAGACTTTGCCGAAGTCCAGGCGGCTCTGTGGGCCGCCAGATCAAAATGGCACAACATCGGCATTCGGCTGAAACTAGATGTTCGTGAGCTGGAAAACATTGATGCTGAGACAAGGTTTGGTCTGGATGACAAGTTCAACCTCATGATCAAGACCAGGTTTAACAAGATTGAGCCATGCACCTGGAGAGATCTCTATGATGCATTAAATCACCCTACTGTTGCCATGTCTGATGTGGCAAATAGGCTTTCAGCAAAGCTAACTGGTAGGTTTAGTATGTACCTACAGTCAGTATCCTGATGCAATAATTATTCTACTACGTATCAACAGTTGAAGTACCCAATACAAGGGCTGGAGATGCAGCATTAGGCCACTCCAAGTTGTATACCGGTTTCTGATCCGCAGCCCGCACCCATTTCAAGAGAACGCAGTTTTGAACTGCGCATGCTGTGCTGTGTGTACTGCACTTGTCTCGTTTTGACTGTCTTCCCACTATGAATTTTTTGTGGTCATATTATTACTAATGAGTAAACCCACCAGCCCGCATCTTGACTTGAAAATGCCCTTACCAGAAACCGGAATGCAACTTGGAGTGGTATCCATGAGCAGTACATCACTGACTGTGGCAAATACCTCATTTGACAGTGGAGACACCAAAGGTTACACAGGCATAGACAGGGTTGTTTTCATTAAGGCAGTCAGCAATTTTACTATCCATTGTTCTCGCAGTCATGTTTTTTTCCCACTGAGGCAGCCGCTAGCCTCGTTCTCTCTCCAAGTGCACATATTTTATGCCACAGAGAGGGGGAGTAAAGTTTGTGCACGCGGAGGGGGGGGGCAAAGGTCATGCGAATAAACTATGTGCGCAGAGAGGAGGAGAAAAATAAATTGTGTGTACCAGTGTTTCCCGCAGGGTAATATTCAAACAGGGTGGTTATGAATTATTAATTACCTCAGCTTTCACATTACTTGTTACTCAAGTTTCAAAGTATATACTTCCTGTTGGGAAATCCCCTACTGGCCTAAGTGCTACTCTCTAAGCAGCGCATTACCAGGGGGGTATATATATATAGGACAATATCACGACGTGTGAGCAATTTTTGCTGAATCAGCACTCCCGAATGTATGGGCTTTCTCGTTCAACCAGTCTTCAAGGAATTTTCGGCAATCTAGGCCGTGGCTGAAGTTTTTCTCTTGACAGAGTGAAGGAGGCACCTTAGAAGATCAAAAATCTTGGTGGAACCACGGTGTAACCACAACTCTTTTTTTTTGCTAGCAGCTTATGAATGGGAGTGCCTAAGCTTGCGACTTTTTTCTTCCAGCGAAGCGTTTAGCATCTGGCCTTGACTTTCCACTCCCGTCTACTACCATTTGACTCAATCCAAGGTACGTCAGGCTATTCAAATGTTCCAATTGCTGCACAAATATAGCAAGCTATGAGCAGTAGACAGTGGATAACCTTAGGCCAAGCCACGCACCAAATTGTTGTAGCCTAGCTACTCCACAGATACCTTTGTAGAATTCCGTGAAGAAAATCCGCTAAGAACTTGTGCTTTGTGTCGATCATACCGTTTCTACAACGGTTTCTTGCATAGGAGCACTTTTCGATAGCCTGTTTGTCTTGAGACTTGGTAACGGTGTTTTGCAAGGACGTGGGCACGAGGGCGAGTACCAGCCCATGTCCTCAGACTTCCCTCTCTCTTTAGTAAGCCATATCGCTTACTATGCATGAACGCTTATGAGCATTGGCATGTATGGAACGCGCGTTTTTGTCATGTGGTTCTTACGTAACTACGCAAGCTTGTCCTACCCCCCCTGGCGCATTACTGCTCACAGTGCAGTGTAACCACGCTAGTTACATTTTACGCCTGCAAAATAATTGTACACGCCCATTTTCGGGATTTTTCAATCCGGGCGGAGCACCCGGTTGTTATAAAGCTGCAGGAAACACTGGTGTACGGAGAGGGTGAGCCTAGGAACGAGACTAGCAATGTCTCTAACACCAGTGGGTTTACATTTCTTGCTATTGAGGGGGTTGAATCCAAGGATTTTTATGTCTGTCCCCTTTTCCCTCTCCTTCTGACTTTCATCTGGCGTGTCACCACCAAACCAGTAGTAATCACAGCTCTATCTTGGCTTGTATTAAGTTTTGGACTGATAAGAATTGTTTACCCGTTCACACTGTGGGGGGACGAGTACTCAGTCCAGCATTGCCCCAGATGCTACTTGCTTTATCGCTGCCAGCCTAAGCATGAAACAGGCTTTAGCTAGACCATGTAGTGTGGCCCACAATATCATCTGTGCTATGCATATTTTGCCTTATTGCAGGTCAAAGTTCATGCTGCCATTTTACTTGCGCACATTCCCAAAAGCACTAAAGTGCAAACCCTCGGCGAACTGCGCATGCGAGTTACTGCTAATTGATGGGCTGGACTATTTGTACTCGTGGTCTCCCGCTAGTATATACCTCACAAAGAGTCTGACACAGGCTAGCTACAGTAGTAGATAGCATACGGTAGTCGACACATGCCATTCGTTGTGACATTCTGAGTATGGTGCCTGAGCCCCCAAGGTACACAGAGCGGGGAGCGGATCAGGTTGCGGTAAGCCCAGTGCGATCACATCTCTCTCGTCTAATACACTCATGTGCACCACTAATGGATGGGTTGGACTACGCTACGTTGCCTGGGACTGTGCCAGTTTCTCGCGCTCGAACGCTGTCGTTTCAGAAAAATCGCCATTTTGTTTTTCATGCGCTTGTAGCACTGAAGTGTTTGGTATCGCTCTTAGGCCACCTCGTAGCCTGTAGTGCGAGAATAGTCAGACACACACACACACACACAGAGACCGACTACTGTAACCCTCGCTGCGCATGCGCGCCGAGGGTTACTTTCATCATTTAGCTACCACCACGCCCCAAAAACGATCCGTCACCCCGATTACAGGAAAAATTGTTTTGACACACGAAGTCAAATGGCGCGCGTGCCATAGGGTGCCTAATAGAGTACACTGATCGGTCTCTTCCAAAGTCCTGGTACTACTACTATACTGGTTTCAAGTAAGCTAGTTAATCTTTGAACTCTCGCACCTGGATCAGGAAGTAACGTTGCAGTGAAAGTTACGTGCCTCATAACTGGTCGTCGCCTTAAATCCAAGATTTGATTAGTTCCCTTGATTAGTTCCCTTGAGAAGCTTTCGTCGCTTGATAAACAATCTTAGCCGTAGAAATTCGTCGCAAGGTAAAAATAATTTTATACTGGGCTAGCTCTAGCTGCATAGCACAGAACGTGGGTCCTCTGGGTATGCGGAACGGTGGGGTCCACTCACCTGCCAGCGGACCACACCCATTTTTGCCCGGCCGATGGCAGTCCAAATTCTGGAGTCCCCCTTTCAGTCACAAGTGTTACAAAACTAGCGATGCAATTTCAGTCCCTGGATACTGCGTAGGATGATAGAACCCCACAGCCTGCTGGCAGAAGAAGAGCTAGAGGAAGGTTTCATAATGCTCGAAAATGCCACGAGCGCGCGTGGTGTCCAAAAGTGGGCGTCGCTGCTAAAAATGTTGCGCACCTATTTGTCATTGAAACCACCCATTCTAGAGTTGTTCTGCTGCTTTTACATTTTTTGAGGCATGCAGTTCTGAAGCATATTATTTGTCTATAAAAGATGTAGTAGTGTATGTGCTTCACAGCCTACACAGCCAGTGAGGCAGAGGACCAGGGGAGGAGACTGGAGCAGCAGCTACGACTGAAGGAGGAGGAGAAGGAGGCAGAGATTGCTCGTCTCCAGGAGCAGATGAGGCAGTTGGCCACTGAGAAGGATCGTCTGGCCTCAGAGAAGGATCGTCTGGCATCACAAAAACAGAGGGAGATAGCGGAGTTGAGAAGTCAACTGCAGACGTCACACAAACCACCAGTTCAGCGAGGGAGGGAAGCAACGACTGTCTCTAGCCCCAAGGCAAGTATATAGAGGGTTTAATCACAAAGTTGTATTATCACAATGCATCACAACCTAGCCATCTTTTTGTAGGTATACTATCAATGGTTCAGGATTTTCTCACAAGTATTGATGTGATCCATGTACTGTTGCATGATGTCTGCAGGATGAGAAAGCTCTGTATGATGCTGCTACAGAGGAGATGTGTCTGCAGTGAGAAGACTTCTGGCCTCTAATGTCAACATCAACTGTACACCATATCCTGTAGGTACAGTGTGACTGTGTTCCATCAGATGTCCAATCTGTTTCACCATCTCACAGCAATGGCTGGACTCCACTGATGAGAGCATCATTTGATGGACATGTTGAAATTGTGAGACTACTGATTGAGGCTAAGGCTCAGCTCAACATACAGGAAAAGGAGGTATATATAATTATAGGTACTTATGACTATCACCAATTTGGTGTTGAATTTATTTGAGTACGGAAATACACAATAATGTAGCTCACTCACTGAGACAAGGGTAATACAATTAGCTATACATCCATTGTAAACAGTGTGAGGAGAGAGAGACTGGTCCCTCTCTCAATCACGACGTAACACATTTTTGCACTTTGTGGAAGTATGCTGTGATGACTATAGCAATCACAGAATGTTTTTCCCGTTGGAACTCCTATACATTGGGCTGTGTATAGCTACACCTGGTTGATGTCGTTCATGTCTGTAGCAAAAAATCTCTCCTCTGTCATATCTACAGGATGGTGCCACAGCTCTTCACCTGGCAGCTCAAGAAGGCAAAGCTGATGTAGTGAGACTACTGACTGAGGCTGGGGCACAGCTGGACATACAGAGAACAGTATGTGCCATTTTAGCCCTCAGTAATGCAGAGAGTATTGGTTTGTGATTTTTGCTGTAGCACGATACATCTGCATACCAAAGGCACTGGCAATATCTAAATCTACTTCTGGCCACCTACTGTCTGCATCACAAAATGTCCATATCACACAAATCCATACATTTTCATCTCTGATCTTCCTCTTTGGTCTAGAATGAAATTCTGTAGAGTTGTTTGTGACTGGTCAAAGAGAGAGTGGTCACAATGCACTCTGTTTACCTGAAAATGTGCCAGCCTTTCGCATTTTGCATATATGTCTACTGTCTAATGAGTAGAGACTTGCTTTCACATATAAACGTTCTATCTCATAAGTAAACTAAACTGAATTACTATATTTTTTATCCTCTGCCACAGAGTGGGGCAACTCCTCTCTACATGGCCTGTCAGAATGGACACAGTGATGTAGTGGAGATCCTGATAAGAAGTCGAGCTAATATCAACCTGCCTCGTGATGTACGTAAGGGTCGACTATTTACATTGCATGGTTATGGTTACAACTTCCGATTTACATTGCATGGTTACAACTTTCGGACCAGTGGCTTACCCTTCTAATGAAACACCCACCAAAATGGTACAAAAACTGTTGCTCTATGCTCCTTCAGTATTAATCTGAGGCAAAAAAAGAACTGAAGGTTCTACTGCCAAGACCAGTGGCACTGAGTTTCGTGTCTGAAAACATGATCAAACATGCTTGTCTATCATGAAGTTGTGGTTGAAGACCTAAATACCTTTGGCTTTTTTTCACTGCCAGTGGTCAAAGGTAAAGTGCATGAATGGATTATGTGAAGGGAGATCCTGGAGACAAGGTTTGTTTTTCCAGAATCTCCCTTATCATACACAAATATAACGAGTCAATAAAAAATGGCAGACATCCCTGCACTAGGTACTATGTACCATACTTCGTGATATGAGGGCTTACAAACCATCGGATAATAATCAGATTTAAGGTCAAATAGTAGTGGGCCCTACTAGGGCTACAACTATAGGACAATGAATGAATGAGAGGCTGACTATATATTATTACGGTCAACATGGCTTGGCAATGCAACAGACCTCGCTCTTTTGTTAGAATACAGTGAGGCTATACCGTTTTTGCTAACTGGAATGCTCTGAAGCTAGTTGAGGCTAGGGATACCATGGCAGAACCTTTAGTGAATGTTAGATCAAGGTTTAAGAGGTCCTCTGCTATAAAATCAAGGCTACCCCATAATCAGGAAGGTATAGAGTTGAGGGAAGAGGGGTATTGAGAATTGTTGTGACTCCTCTCTACATTGCCAGTGGAAAATGGACACAGTGAAGTGGTGAATATCCTACTGAGGAATGGAGCTGGTGTGGATAGAGCTGATGATGTAAGTCAATCATCAGTCACTGCATGACAATCTTCAGTCGTTTACTGTACCAGTGCAGTCAGTCACATCTAACTTTACTGTTACTATATATACAAGTAAATAAAAAATCCTGCGAATTTAAAAAAGAGGCATATAGGGATCGTATAAAAAGAAAGGGAGACAAGATAGGGATTGGATACATGAAGCATGGTTAATGAACAGATTTGAGTATGCTGACACCCCCAACCCCATCACACAATCCTTATATTGTTGCCTGGTGTGCTACTCTTATAGGGGCCAAAGGTTACTAAAAGCAAGCATTCTTTCACTGAAGGTCTCCAATTTCGCCGGAGGTGTGCACGGACATCAAGCGATCGTTTCTTTCTTGCCGCTAGTCAGTTGCACGTGTGGTTTTGATCTAGCTAAACTATTCAGTTTATTATTCTTCCCCATAGGATGGGACGACTCCTCTCTTCATTTTGCCAGTCAAAGGGACACAGTGAAGTGGTGGATATCCTACTGAGGAATGGAGCTGGTGTGGATAGAGCTGATGACGTAAGTCAATCATCAGTCACTGCATGACAATCTTCAGTCGTTTACTGTACCAGTGCAGTCAGTCACATCAAACTTTACTGTTAGTTGTCCTACCCATCCTCTCTCATTTTGATGTTTATGGGACACAGACCACTGAGTATGGTTGCCAACAAGGTTATAGATGGCATATGGACCAAGTACTGTAACCCTCACCAAAGATTGAATCATTAGTTTTTGTAGAGTGCGCCTTCTCCTGGGGAGTGGTTAATGTGCCCTTGAAAACACATCTCATATAAATCTCTCTTATTCCTAGTGATGTTGATATCTACTGTTTAGGGACTTCTAGAATCATAGAGCTTCAATGTAAGGAAAGGTGTAGCTAAGTGTCTCACGTACTGGAGCAATACATTCACCTCTGCCTTCCATGGCATAGTCTAAATGACTAGACAAACTTAGCCTTGCATGTTCTCCGCTACAGGACACAGTTCTTAATGTCATGAGTATAGACAGGTGTTCTGAGCGGTGCAAATTGGTGCAAATATTTTCCACTTCAATCGTATATATACCTCGACTATGGTCCCTCGTCTGGATATTAGTCTTCCTCTCTCTTCTATCAAATTTCACAATTACTTGTTGCTTGCGTTATGTTACATCTTTACTGTTACTTGTCCTACCAATCCTCTCTCATCCATTAACATAATTAATATTCTACCAACCTTCTTCGAGTTGCACGGTGTGGTTTGATCTAGCTAAACTATTCAGTTTATTATTCTTCCCCATAGAATGGGGCGACTCCTCTCTTCATTGCCAGTCAAAATGGACACAGTGAAGTGGTGAATATCCTACTGAGGAATGGAGCTGGTGTGGATAGAGCTATGAACGTAAGTCAATCATCAGTCACTGCATGACAATCTTCAGTCGTTTACTGTACCAGTGCAGTCAGTCACATCTAACTTTACTGTTACTATATAGTCCTACCAATCCTCTCTCATCACATAAACAAAATTATTATTCTACCAACCTTCTTCGAGTTGCACGGTGTGGTTTGATCTAGCTAAACTATTCAGTTT